CTTTCCTTAGCCGAAATAACTTACCAATACGCCGATAACCCGAAACCTCACAAGAAGATAACCATACAACCCAATCGTAGGGGGGGTGGGACTCTCCCACTTAGCTCGAAGCCACCCTTACACAACTCCAGAACCCAACAAGATTCTTTATCTCTTACTAACATGTCCTCGCGCAATTAAACCGCCCGATTCCTCGAAATCCTTCCTTTAGCATTTCATGAACCCTCTGAATCTCCAGCAACATTCACATATTAGACCCCTTACCGGATAGTTAATGAGAATCCTTCACCGAAGCTTTGCCAACCACGCGATCGCTGATCTGCTCATAGGAGACATCCCCAAATATGGAGACTACGCGCCAACATCTTCCAATGACGCTGCACGGGGTACAATTACTACGACATCAATAACTCATTCTCAGCCCGTGCTCATCCACCAGCTGTACAAGTCCATTCACTCCTCGTGGACAATAACTAAATGTGCGACAATATCTTCCAATTCAAAGTTATGTTGTATCCTTCTTCATATCAAGCAGCTCCTTTCCGTCATATCAAATCTCCCGCCGTTATGCTAGCCAATATTTCGAATTAAGCTTGTAGACCCAATTACCGTCCACTAAAATTCCCAAATCACTCTAAACTTTCCTCAAGGGTGTAGTTATCCTGCCACTGAATCCACGTGCTGCTCTGCCACTCTCCCACTTTGGCCAAACCCTCTTCTTTAAGCAACTATTCGACTTCCGCGTCTTACACTTGGCCTTCTAGAAATTTAACCACCGCATGACACTTCCCACACATCATTCCTCATTCTTTGCTGCTCAGCTGACGCCTTAGATCAAAACCTACTCCAGTAGCGCTTGAATTAATAGACTGCTACTAACTTTTAAATCTTTCCGAAGATCATCTTTCTCGAGCTGTCAGCATTAGAAATACACATTCAATCCTGAACCACTACACCCCGCAATCTCTAACAGCCGCTTCTCCAATACTATTTTACAATATCCTGCCTCCAGGGCGAATTGTAGAAGGTCATAACACCAGCAAACTTAGTACATTCAACAAGGACAACGGCACCTCATCACAGATGAAAATTCCACCACGCTCGCAAATACCAAGCCTCGTTACTCCATCAACCCAAATCTGAACATTCTTAGCCCGATTTCCTTTCCCTTGCCGGGAATAAAATACCGAATCTCTAAATCATGCACCGAGTAAATCCTCCCTTCAAGTCATTCACTGCCCCGACACATAGACAAGCATCCTACCATCACATCAATACTGCGTGATAACCAATCATAAGCACCATGGCAACTTGTGCCTAGCCTCAAAGCTCCCAGAAGTACGACTACTGAGCTGAAACGACAGAATATCCTTCCACAAGGCGACGACAATAGTCAAATCAACTACGCCGGGAGAAGCATCCCGCACCACCTCTGTAGTACCTTTAAAACTTCTCAATTCCTGATTTATAATAAGCGCTTTGCGTCGCACAAGATCCATTGGGAAGGAAACAAAGGCATAAGCCTCAAAGGAATCAAATCGCACGATGAGGAAATCAAGAAGGGAAGTGCTCCTAACAGCCCTGTAGCCTCCCGAAGATAAGTACAGACGTCTCTGTACCGATCCGCGAGACTCTACTAGACTTGCTCATGACTCGTGAGACCTAAGGGAACCTAGTGCTCTGATACCATGTTGTCACGATCCAAAATCCACTAAGGATCGTGATGGCGCCGGACACCATTATCAGGCAAGCCAACACTAAATAACTAGAAACTTCTTGTTTTTAGATATTTCTGAATTTACTTCTTTTATATTTTTAAACATTAAAGAATAAGTTCCACTGAATAAATAATAACATCCTTAACTATGTCAATATACTCAATAATCCCATAGACATCCTAGAACCCGGTGTCACATGTGCATGAGCAATTACTAAAAGAATCGAATAAAGTACAATAACTGTCCGGAATACAAATTGGACAGAAATAAATATAATACGCTGAAAGAGATTATACTGGCTGCGGGTCGCCTCGAGAAATGCAGCTCATCTAGTCTCCGTATCATCCATGCTGCTACGCCCAGTAGGCCACTAGAAATACCTGTGCCTGTGCAACAAAAATGCACAGCAAGTGTAGCATGAGTACGAAAACAACGTGTACTCAGTAAGTATCCCATCTAATCTCGAAGAAGTAGAGACGAGAGGTCGACTTCGACATTTACTAGTGGTTCAGTAATGATACGTCATTAATATAATAAGTAGAGGACTTTTATAAACATGATTGTAATTCAATAGAATGAAGCAAGCAAACAATTCTTTCTTTTAAAGGAAATTTCCAAATTCCTTTTCATCATTTATACATATATTCTCAAGCCGGGAAGAAACAATATCAACTTCAATAAGTTTCAAGGCAAGCAATACAAGCATGCGCAAATCATGCCGAGGTCGTATGGCCCGATCCAACAATATTTAAACTGTGCACTGCCAGAGGGTCGAATGGTGCGAATCATAGATGCATCTATTTAATCTACCGAGGCGTTCGACCCGCTCGACAATATATAAATACATTCAAACAGTCAATCAAGAGTTCATCAAGGAGCAATTATCCAAGTAAAAGGCAAATTTCGCTTTTAAAATCAAGGAAACGATGTATAGTCTTTTGGATATTCATTTACACATTCGATATGTTTTAAGCACTTTTAAATTGACAACGAGATTTCAAATATTGCAAGTAAAGCATGCCTTTGGGTCCTAGTCTACCCGGACATAAGCATAATAGTAGCTACGCACAGACTCTCGTCACCTCGTGCGTACGTAGCCCCCACAAATAGCAGCACATATTCAATTAATTCACCTATGGGGACAATTCCCTCTTACAAGGTTAGAAAGGAGACTCACCTCGCTCCGAAGCCTATATCCAAATACAAGAACGCGCTCAAACCTCCAAATTGGAGCCGAACGATCCAAAACTATTCAAATGGGGTAAGAACTAGTCAATTCATGCTCAAAAGTTCATATTCTACTTATTAAACCAATTTCCCAACCCTAAATGCAAGGTTCCTAAAATTCATCCCCGGGCCCACGTGCCCGGATTCCGAAATTTTTTTAAGAAAGTTGTTATCCATAACCTAAGGATAAATAATATATATTTTCTACTTCATTCCATAACACATTTCGTGGTTAAATCTTGCTTTTATCAAAACCCTAGGTTTTACTCAATTCCCATGATTTTTTCTAATTTTTGTGTGTTAATCTACCCAAAACCCAAGTATTAAACTCACATTGAGCAGGAATAACTTACCTCGCAATGCTAGGTTGAAATCCCTCTTTGAAAGCTCCCAAATCGCCCAAGTGTAGAAGTGAAATGAAATAAATGGCCTGAGTCCCGTTTTTAAAAGCTGGACACAGGCCTCTGATGTCGCATTTGCAACACCAGGTGCGCAAATGCGACAAAAGCCTCGCAAATGCGAAGCCTGCTCCCCCCTGACATCGTCGCATTTGCGACAAGAAGGTTGCAAATGCGAGCTTCGCAAATGCGAAGATTCCATCGCAAATGCGACCCCCGACTGGACTGGCCCATTTCGCAAATGCAATAAGGGTTTCGCAAATGCGAACCCTCCAGGCCTCACAAAAGCGGCCCGTTTGTCACAAATACGAACCATCCCCTCAGCCGCCCAGGTTCGCAAATGCGAACAACACCTCTCAAATATGATGACCGCATTTGCGACCAAAACATCGCAATTGCGGTCATACCAGTACCAGCAATCCCATTTCTTAGCAAAATGCTCCGAAGCTACTCCGAAACTCACCCGAGCCCCTGGGGCTCCAAACCAACCACCCGCACAAGTCTAAAAACATAATACGGACTTTCTCAATACTTCAAATCACATCAAACAATGCTAGAATCACGAATCACACTCCAAATCAAACTTGATGAATTTTTAAAATTTCAAACTTCTACTTTTGATGCTTAAACCTATCAATCACGTCCGATTGACCTCAAATTTTGCACACAAGTCGTATTCGACATTACAGACCTACTCCAAACTTCCGGAATCGGAATCCGACCCCGATATCAAAAAGTCCACTCGCGGTCAAACTTCTCAAAAACCTTCAAATTTCTATCTTTAGCCAAATGACTCCAAAATGACCCACGGACCTCCGAATTCACTTCCGATCGTGCTCCCAACACCAGTATCCCCATACGGAGCTATTCCCAGACTCGGAATCCCAAACGTACATCGATAACACTGAAATGCACTTTAACCCAGACTCATGAAATTTTTCCAAAAATACTAACTTCCACAATAGGTGCCGAAACGTTCCCCGGTCTTCCAAAACCCAGTCCGGACATACACCCAAGTCCGAAATAATCATACAAACCTACTGGGACCTTCGAATCCCGATTCCGAGGTCGTTTACTCAAAAATCCAATCTTAGTCAATTCTTTCAACTTAAAGCTTCCGAAATGAGAATTCTCTCTCCAAAATCAATTCCGAACTTCCCGGAACTAAATTCCAACCACGCGTACAAGTCATAATACCTGAAGTGAAGCTACTCAGGGCTTCAAACCGCTGAACAATGTGCTAGAGCTCAAAATGACCTGTCGGGTCGTTACAGTAAGTGTTGTGTCTAATAGTAATAGTAACAGTATTGGTAAGCGTATATAATCAAAGAGGCTATTTACTTATTTCCACACTTATTTTTATTGGTTTTAGCTTGTTTATTGTTAATCACTGAACGTAAAGGATTTGGCTAATTAAAACTCTAACATTGGCTTGCCTAGCAAGTATGGTGTTAGGCGTCATCACGGTCCCGATGGTGGATTCCCGGTCGTGACATTCAATTTCTCAAAATTTTCTTTTATTTAAATAGTTAAAAGGAAATATAAAAGAGAAAATAGAGAAAAGAAAAATATTAAGAAGACAATATTCGCCACCATCTTCCTAGGTTTTCAACTCCACATTAGGGGGTAATTTCGATATTAGACTGAAAATTATAGAACGGGGCAAAATTCCCTCTCTTTTTTCCCCTTGTTTCAAATGGTACAGTTAGTTCCCTCTCTCACAAATCTTTTAGCAAGGCTTGATCCTCTCTTCATCTTCTCTACGGAGCCGGTGGGGCAATCCGAAGAACAACGGTTCATACTTTTTCATCCTCTTTCTTACTTCTATATGCTCTATATTGTCTTTTACTTTCCGATATAGGGTTCCTATCCAGAATTGTTTTCGATATGCTTTTGGATCTATATAGTTACAAGTATTTGAGTTATATATTGCTTTAATTGTTGTGTATATTCCTTTATTTCGAGATCCAATTAAAAAATTTACCCTTTTAAGAGTCATTTCCTGCGGGGAAATGAATGTGCTTTTGAGAAAAAGAGTCTATAGTAAGAGGTTGTCTATTTGTATTAGGTGGTGTTCGACAGATCTCTTGTCTTTTATGGTTGATGGGGGTTGTCTGTACGTAATTGGATGGATTGTGTGCTTAGGATGCCGGGTACAACGCAATGCACTCTTTCTATTTTGTCTGTCTTGTTATTTTTTCCCTTTTATGGGGTTTGATGATTATATTATTTGGATGGCTAATTTTGTACACTGCAAGAAGACTCTAAGTAATTACTTTGTAAATTTTGAGAATATTTTGGTCTATAATTAGAAAGGACATCAAATGAGTTCTGTTGTATGTCTGCAACTACTGCATCCTTATACATCAGGGATGGTTGGAAATATGAGTACAATTACATGAACTTTAGGTGATTGTTGTAGACATTTTCCCACTGAACCAAAGGGCATTCTAACGCAATGAACCGATCATCCAGGATTTGAGCTAATCGCCATGGTAAAGCACCCCTTGTGGTTTGTTTACTTCTACAAATGTATTTGGAGTTTGTTTATCAGAAGTTGTTTTAATAGTATTTTTGAGCAACTTTAACTATGAATTGATTGCTGGACCAATATTAACAAAGATTACTGGACCGATAATGGTGACAATTATAAGTTACAACACATATCTCTTGTCACTCTTATCCTGTAACAGACCAACTTCTTTCTATCCTTGTGCACAACTATCTTTTATTTCAGAAAACAAGCTTGGCGAGTAATCATCGTCTTACATTAAGTAAAGTAACATTAAATTTTGGCTAGCAGTTCCGCCTTTGTCTTTTTGGAGCCTTATGTAATGTATCTAAACATGTCTAGTCATTATAAAAGCTATTCGATGACTAGTCAGAGTAAGTGCTACAGATCATATACAGAAGTAACTTTGTCATATCACACATGACCTGTTTGGCTCAAAGAAGCATGGTGATTCTGTATCCATTTATGTAATGGATATGTTTATAGTATTTTACCCTGTGAGTTCTAGTTTAGTACTTTTCATTTGCACAAGGTAAAAAATGGATTTTTTTTTTTTTTTTTTTGCAACTTTTGCTAGTTCTTGGTTTTTGATGTTGTATGCCCTGCTCTTCAGTTTTGCTTTATATAGTTAAATTTAATAACAGGAAAGCATGTATTTAATTACAAGCAACTAAACTTTTATGATTCTTATTTATCGGTTAACAATTTTCTTCGTTTGTACCTTACATTTAATTTAATTATAATGTCAGGTGATGTAAATCCATTGAGGGATAAATCCTCTACCAGTGCAAAGGTTTTAGTATTGATGGGCTGTTTTTATAGCATTGAGGAGTAAGTTATGCTTCTTACCTCATTTCTTGGCCAGGCATTTTTTTCTAGAGAAACTTAATATTTATATAACATGCTTCTTAATATAGGAAGCTGCACCAATTGAAGAACATTTGCAGCTTTGAATATCAGTTGGATTGAAGCAAAAAAGTGGTAGCCTTGAGAACAAGAAACATGGTTGGCTCAATGACAACTGCTATATTGCTCAAGTAGGTATAAACTTGAGATACAACTTTAAACTCACAGCTTACATAAATTGATGGTTTTAGTTTTATATTGATTGGTTATGTATTTTCTTATTCCTAGGACTATTGTTTATAGAAATATCAGTACAGTAATATACAGAAATAGTAAGGGTCCTTGGCATTCTTATTGTAAGAGGTGATTCTCTTGGAGTTCTTACTTGATATAGATACTAGTGGAATTCATGCCTTAAAAATTTTGAATAAGTACCTAAGAAATGAGATGAAGTAAGCTGATAGTATATAAATTTTATTTTTTCGGTTCAAGTTTTGGCACTTTCTTGTTGCTTCTTTTGCTTGAAATTAGCTNTAGACAGGAAGTTCTTTAAGTGTTGCTGAGGGTCTTCTGTTTGTGTCCCAGAAAAAAGTCCCTTGTTCTGCAACAAGTGTAGCATGTTATTTGTGATCTGGAACGATTCAGCTTGTATCGCGGGCACAATAATGGCAGTGGCCAGATTGTCAGCTGTGGGTTGTGCCCAGTCATAAAGTGCACCTTCAGGCACAGGAGGTGCCATTTGCTCATTTCTGACGTTCCCGTTGGGGTCGTTTATGTCGCCCATGTCAATTTCGAGTTGGTGTGTTTGTTGTGATTGTTGAAGTCTTTTGTTTGCACGATTCAATGCCCGGAATGTCTTCTCGGGTTCTGTGAGTCCTTCAAGTAGTTCTCCAGTCCTCGTAGAATTTCTAGGCATGCACCTGTGTACCCAGATCAACAACCGTCAAAATTTTCAATGAAAAAGTTGGTAGAGAGAAAAACTGACTACAATAAGAATCTTTGTATTTCTGTCAATGGCAATTGATAATTCCGTTAATTTCCTGGCAACGGCTCCAAAATTTGATCACGCCCAACTATGCCGTATAAAAGGACAATGCGGTCGCTGCAAATATAATCCGGTTTACAAGTCCGGAGTCGAATCCCACAGAGAGTTAACCTATCAACTGCTACCTTCAGACCCACCAAGTCTTCAGAACCAGCTTCTCAAATATTCAAATTCTCAGTTGAGTGTTCTTTAATAACTAACTTGCAAGTAAATAAAAGGCTATAACTAAATTAGAAGGGTTGTAAACAATTATGAGAAAAAGCTAAGGCAATGATTTCCCCTATTGATGGAATCCCTTCTGTTTATGCTCCTACAAATTTACCCACACATCTCTATCAATCATGAACGCTAATCTTACCGCAAATCTCTCCCGAGTAATCATAGTAATCTACTATTGCACTCTCCCGAGATACACTAGCTTGCTTTATTTCGCCCAATTCAATTTAAATTGCACCCAAGGCTTCGTTATTCCTAATCCCGCCTTTAAACCCGCAATTATAGATTCCTCTAATAATCTAGGAGTGGTGTTGTTCAACAATACCCTAAATATGCACTCTTTTCCAAGTTATGCACACTAAATAGGCACAGCTAAATGAGGATCCTATCAATTAACTACAACGAATACGAAGTTGAACAAATAAAGATTTAACTAGCAATTTGTATTCACATAAACAAGAAGTTCATCACCCAATAGGTTCCATCAAAGCCTTAGACAAGGAATTTAGCTACTCATGACTATGGGAGAATAAACTAAGCTTGAATTCATCATAAAATCAAAAGAAAAGAAGAAAGATGTTTAGAGTACTTTCTCACAATTGTTTTTCTTGCTAAGAACCCTTAGAAATCAATACATGCCTCTCTTGGGCGAAGTCTAGCGTTTTAAATAGGGTTTTGGTCTAAAAATCCCGTGTTTTACACTTAAGTCCCCGAAGTTTACTGTGCCCACCGCGGTTCTACCGCGGTCGCGGTAGAACCGCGGTCAAACGCCCTCGCGGAATCTTCAAACTTCAGAGACTGCCTTCCACCGCGGTTTCACCGCGGTCGCGGTAGAACCGCGGTAGAACTTGTACCCGAGCATTTTGGCCTGTTTTGAATGGGTTACTTGGGGAAATTCAACAATTAGCCTCTTTTCATCAATAATTGACTCCAAAACCGCTCCTTAGCCTTCCTTACACCTATATCACCTGCAAATCATGAAAAGCACTAATAAGAGCATTTTGTTGTCATTTTCCACATTAAAAGTTCACAAGAAGGTGATTATTTGGTGCGTGATTATAGTCAAATTCACCTATTATCAGTAATCTCTGTTACACACCTCTTTTTCAAGGGAAACTTTTATACACTCAACTTTTCAAAAGTGTGTCTAAGACACAGCACTTTTGTGCTTGGCCAATTTTTTAGATTACGTGAAAATCACACCCTATTAGGGCCGTGTCACGTGTCATTGATTTTAAAAATGAAAAATTATATTAAAAATTAAAATTAAAACCCATCTTCTTCATCTTTCCATTTTCTATCTTAACCACTATTGTTTCTACCACCATGGTTGTTTGTGAGAAAGTTTTCAACAACACCAAAATTCAACCACACTATCTAAACAACTAGCCGAAAATAATCAAGCAACAAATTGAGTTCAATAACACAATAATAAACAAGACCCAATTTAATTTTCAAGCTTTTTTCGATACCCCAACAATGGTGGATTCTAGATTTGTTCACCAAATCTTCAATACTACTGTTAAAGCTTTTAAATCTGTCACAAATAAATAGTTTTCACAATATCTGGACAATAAACCAACCAAATGCGCTCAATTTTAGATCTAAAATTGATATGTTTTTTCAAAATTTCTATTTTGGGAAGAAAATGAGGGGGAAGGGTGGTGAGGAAGAAGACCAGAGGGAGGGGGAGAGGTTCTTGTGGGGAGGGGAGACAAAAAATGGGATTTTTTACGGGCTTCATGCGCTTTTTTTGTGTGTAAATACGCAAGTGCTATCTGATCAAAAGTAGTGTGTCTTAGATACATTTTTGAAAGGTTGAGTATGTAAAACGTTTCCCATGAAAGAGAGTCGTGTAACAGGGATTTCCCTGCAAGGTTTATGGGTAAACTATGTGTTTTGCCATTATAATTAGATGTTAAAATAGAAAAAGTGCTATTGGATGTATAGAAGGATGGTTATCAAAGTGAAAGATAATTTACATAACAATTATAAGACTCATAATGTTATATGGTAAAGAGCGTTATATGGTAAAGAGCGTTGGACGACTAACATTTAACATATCCACAAGACAAGTGTTGCAGATATACAAATGCTAATATGGATGTGCAGTTATAGAAGATTAAATAAGATAAAAAAGTATCATATTAGCCAGAGCTGCAAGTAACACGTATTGAGAATTAAATGAGAGGTCACTTGAGATACTTGGTAATAACCTGTGTCAACCTACAGATGTACCGGTCTATATGTGTGAAAGGAAAAAGTAAATTGCAAAATATATGGACATAAATTTATTTTATTTTCATAATATTAGGGTTTTGAAATTCAACAAATAATGTTAGTAATTAACAAATGTGTTACTACATTTTATCTAATCAAGGATATTTAGAAATTTGAATATTAAATGGATTATTTTAATTAACTTTATTTGAATTTGTTCAATTATGTTTAAGTATATTTTATTCGAAGAAGTCTTCATCTGTGTCTAAAACTGCTGAACCTTCATTGGCCAAGAGGACAAGGTCTGTTGTGAAATCCAAGCAAGTTAGAATTGAGGAGGAGGAATGGAGTGGTGAAGAAGAGAGTGAGTCTGATGCTGAACAAGACAAGCTGGCCAAATTTGGCAAAAGAAACATTTTGAAGGGTAGACTTCTGAAGGATTTGGAGGAACCAGGGACGGTTCGACTAGTTGATGCTCTTGCTGCTCAAGGTTGGAAGGACATGGTCCTTCAACTGGATGGTAGGCTGGCTAGGACTGAGATCATTGAGTTCATGACAAATGCAAAAGTCAAGGATGGCAGAGTTACCAGTCAGGTGAAAGGGGTTCAAGTGATATTTGATGCAAAGGAGCTGGGTGAGATCCTTGACATCCCTTTTGAAGGGTATGATGACTACACAAGGCAAAAATGGCCAAGTCTGGACTCCCTTCCTACTGCCCTTGCTATCACTAGAAGATTTTGTGATGTCCCTGATGTGAATGAAGCCAAGGTCGTGTATAAGAGTGAAATGAAGCCCTACCACAAGGTCCTGTTTGAATTTGTCAACAAGTATCTGCTGCCTAGGCAGGAAAGAAGACACATTGCTAACTACATGGACTTAGTGTTGATGGAGTGTCTTGAAAGTTGCAGGCAAATCAACTGGCCTGCATTTATTATCAAGTTACTGGACAGGGCTATCAGTGGCTCCAAGGCCCATGCCACTCCTTATGGGTTTATTCTGACTACTGTTCTGGATAGTTGCAAGGTGCCACTAAAGAAGTGGGAGATGGCTACAAGCAAAGACCATTTTGGCATCAACACTTTGATTGCTTGTGACTATGAGATCAATGCCATTTCCAATGAACCTGGTTCATCTAAAAGGACACCTATAAATAGCAAAGTTAGAGCTGTAGTGCAGAAGAGTGTGGTAAAGGATGCTGAGATAGCTAGGCTGAAGGCTCGTTTAGCAGAGGTGGAATCTGAGAGAGATGCTCTCAGAACTGAGCTCACAAAAGAAAAGGAGAAGAATGATGGCATTCTTCAAAATATGCTGCACCTTCTCCAAGCCAAAACCCAACCCTCCAGCTCTTCCAAGCCTTAAGTTCTTTAGCCTTCATTTCCTGAACCTTGTCTAGAACTTTCAGTGACCTAGATTAGGGATTTTTTTTCTTGTTTTGCTCATGTTTTGACTATTTTTGTTTCTTTTTGTGGATTGTGGTAGAAACATATCTCCTATAAATGAAGTTTACTGTTTTTGCTCTTGTTGACTGTTTATATTTCCTTGATAGTTTGAATATGTTTGCTTGATTACTGATGATTAATTCATGATTGCACTTGCAGTTGCCCTAGTGGCCATGAGTAATTGTTAAAATTCTGGGAATCACACTGTGTTTATGCAACTTTTTGATGATGCCAAAAGGAGGAAGAGATATTGTGCTTTATATATTCTGAATACGTGATGTTTATAACCTAATGAACCTGGTCCTTGATAATAAGTAATTTTTTCTAACTTTGTATTGATGAATAAGCTGAGTTCTGACAGAGCCTAAGTGAGTGAAAAGCACATAGTTTGTCATCATCAAAAAGGGGGAATTTGTTGGCCCAAGTAAAGGTGAAGTTTTGAAGACTGACAAAGGAACTCAGACATGGACCAAGTCCATCCTAGTGAGGCACAGATATGGTCAACCCAAGCATGTGAGATGCACGTGAAGGACATAAACCTAACGTACCAGAAGTGATATCTCCTGATCATGATCGAAAAGATTGCATATTGGATAAGGAGAAAGACTCCTTACACAAAGAGAACATTGCTTAAGAGAAGGATAGAGTTAGAGGATGAGATCAACTAGAACTCTTCCACCATGGAAGAGTAGCATCAGAATTCTAGTTAATCTCTAATTACTAACTCCTTAAATATGAGTGTTGTTCTCTTTTACAGGTAACGCACATAAGAAGAAGTTAAACGTAAATTGAGAGCAAAATAGTAAGGCAATTTTGCAAGCAATTTGTGTGTGATTCAAGCGTGCAAACGTGGAGCTACTTGAACCAGATAGAAGAACCAGTTCCAAGTGTTTGTCTTTTATTCTAGTTCAATTGTAATAGGTCGTTTTCATATTGTACCTTTCAGCTTATCTAGAAGCAATTGTATTAGGTACTCAGAGTTTTCAAGTTAGAGTTAACTTGAAGTTGTCGCAACAGCTGAGGCTGTGTGCTACAACGGGATTAGAGTTAATCCTAGGTTTACAAGAGAGTTTTTGTAAATGCAATTTTTGGCTCAGTGATTTTAGTGGAGAGTTTGGGAAAATTCTACTGGAAAGTAGGTCGTGGTTTTTTCACCTTTTTGAGCCAGGTGTTTTCCACGTAAAATCTTTGTGTTCTTTAGTTTCTGTACTTATTATTCCGCAACAGTAGTGGTTGGAACATTTGCAGCTTTGAATATCAGTTGGATTGAAGCACTGAAGTGGTAGCCTTGAGAACAATGAATATGGTTGGCTCAATGACAACTGCTATATTGCTCAAGTAGGTATAAACTTGAGATACAACTTTAAACTCACAGCTTACATAAATTGATAGTGTTAGTTTTAAATTGATTGGTTATGTATTTTCTTATTCCTAGGACTATTGTTTATAGAAATATCAGTACAATAATATACAGAAATAGTAAGGGTCCTTGGCATTCTTATTGTAAGAGGTAATTCTCTTGCAGTTCTTACTTGATATAGATACTAGTTGAATTCATGCCTTAAAATTTTTGAATAAGTACCTAACAAATGAGATGAAGTAAGTTGATAGTATATAAATTTTATTTTTTCGGTTCAAGTTTTGGCACTTTCTTGTTGCTTCTTTTGCTTGAAATTAGCTCCAGAAGATTATGGGCGCTGGCTTGATTTATTTAACTAATTATTAGTTTATATTTTATAGTTCGTTTCCTCTACTTCAGTTTCCAGTGTTGTTATTAGCTTTTAGCTGGTGCAAGTTTAACTCTGCGAATNAGAATATCCAGTAACTTCTGTTCAATGTTATTAGACCAAGTGACAGATTTATTTGTAAGAAGATTTGTAGCTTTCTTTTATTTATGTAACTAGATTTGTCCTTTTAGCCTGTCAAAATGCTAGCTGTTTACAAGTTTTTCATCTACTTTTGTTTCATTGTTTCAGCATAGTGATGTGGGGATCGAGTGTGTTTCACCCATGGATGTAAGAGTATCATTAAGTGACAGCAATACAAATTACCACAAGTGCTTTCCACTTTTGTATATTTATTTGTTGAGGAACTACTCTAGTCTCTAGCTTGTCTAGTGTTTAAGTTATTATATATGTGTTTGTATAATTTAGTTTGTAATGTTGGTTACTACAGATATTTGTAATGGAATTTGAGTTACTAATTTAATAAATAATTATTTATTGAATCCTATAATTAAAATTTTTAAATAGGTATTGTCGCAGTTTATAACTGTCACTGTTTAATTTTTTTTTAAAGATTGAGATCAAATTGTGGGGGTTATAAACCCCCATAAATTAATTTTTTTAAACGTTAAGATCATATTATGGGGGTTAAAAATTGTCGCTAATTGCTTTTTAAAACTGCCACAAATTAATATTTATTTTGTGGCGGTTGTCGAGGAGGTTTTAAAAAACTGCGGCAAAAAATGCTTGTGGCGATCATAAATGTGGCGTTTTTCCAAACCGCCATTCATTTTGTGGGGGTCGAAAACTGTCACTAATCGACAAAAAAAAAAACCCATAAAATGAGCCTTTTTTTTTTGTAGTGACCTCTTCAGGGTTAGGTTAGATACTTACTGGGTAAACGTTGATTTACGTACTCACGCTACACTTCTGTACTGAATATGCAGATGCTGAGGCAGGTACATTAGGTGGTCATCTTGGCGCATTGGCGCATCTGTTGAGGGAACTTTATGATGAGCTGCATTATACGCTATGATTCGCAGCACACAGAAGTCTCCAGCTTATTCAGTTATTATATCTTGTTTATTTGATATTCCAGACAGATGTTGTGATAGTGTTATATTGTTCTGGTAGATGTTCATACTCTTGCGATACCGGATTTTGAGGATTCCTAGTGGATGTTCATTATGTTATTTCAAGTTATTATTATACTTCACGTTATGATGTATTTATATTTGAAAATTTGGTAAAGAAAAATACATATTTCTATGAGTGCTAGATTTTATTTTATTTAATAAAATTCTGATTTTGAAATATTAAAATAAATTATAAGTGAAGTTTCACGTGTTGGCTTACCTAGTAATATCGTTGGGCGCCATCACGACCTATTATAGGATATGAGTCGTGACAACAAATCAGCTAATCTACTAGGGTTTGAAACCTGTGATACGAGTGCTTAAATTGCGATCTCTTGACGGTGGATTGACTTCTTCCGACAAGATTTTCAAGTGGATCTCATTCGGGAGAACTTAAATGACATTGAGGCGTTTTCCCAAATTAGCAGCAACTGGACACAAAATTTTAAAATATATAATCTTAAACAAACCATATGGATATACTAATTCTTTTGAAAATTATTATCTTAAACATATTATGTACTTCTGTGCTATAAAAACCTCCGTCAAGTGTAAAGTACGAAATTTGAGTTAAATTATTTTAAATTTCGAAAGTTCATTCTTTTTTAAAATGGACAAAGAAAAAAAATAAGTTCTCGTAAACTGAAATAGGTTCATATAAGAGAATATTACATAAGAGGATAAAAATATTTGTTTCTCCTCTTAACTGGTGAAGCTGATTACAGCCCATTTGAAAGTCTACAATTTCGAAACATACTCCATTTTCTTACTATTTCGAAAAAAATTTAAATTATATACTCCAAGACGTACTTTCTTACCAATAGCTAATCTCTTTGTCAATGACAGTATAGACACATACAATATATAGATTGTAAAGAACCACAACTACTAAGGGACAGAACAAGTTACAAACACCAGTTACATTCTTAGTATGAAAAAAGGCTAGCAACCATATATGCAGTGCTCTCCTAATATTTACACTAGATAAAAGATAAAGCTTAACCTATATATAAGCTGACAGTGTAAAAAAAACAGTACAAAATAGTTTTACTCCCCGGTGCCGGTAACACCCAAATCCTGTTTCTTGTCCTCATCTTTGCCGGCGCCGAAAACCGGACCACCTTTGCCGGCAGCATCATCCACCTTGTCTTGAACTTTATCAATTTGGATCCCTTTTTCATCTTCACGAGAATGAATGTCCATTCGAGGCTTGTTGTCATCTCTTGTTATTGATTCGTACGTTGTTTGTGTTCGAGATTCCTTCGGCTGTGCTCCTTGGGCCCCCGACATCTTCTTTCAAAAATTTTAACTTCCAAAGTTTCAATTCGTATTCCCAAAGTATATGGCACTTAATTGTTTTAATCTTGTGAACTTGTTCCAATACTCGTCTACTGCAACATTATCTAGTTTCATGATCGGTTCAATTTGTTAATAAACTTTCTAAGGTCGCCACGTTTCATTTGGAAAGCTGCATGTGGCGCATGCATACGCAGGAGCTTGTACCATTACGTGTAATCTTTATCAAATACTTTACATGATTTTACGCGAACAAATACACCATAAGGATAAGAGACTGCATTTTTTAAAAGTAAAAGGCATAAAAAAGTATATACTCCCTCCGTTTCATATTAGATGAGGTAGTTTGACTCGGTACGAAGTTTAAAAAAAAAAGAAAAAGACTTTTGAAACTTGTGATCTTAAAAGCTTAAGGGGTAAAAAGTTTGTGGGGCCATGACATTTGTGTGGCAATAAAAGCTTCTCATTAAGGGTAAATTGGTAAAATGAAAGAGTTTAAAGTTGAATTATTTCCAAATTTAAAAATATGACATTTGTTTCGGAACAGACTAAAAAGGAAAGTACCTCATCTAATATGAAACGAAGGGAGTATTATTAAGTACAGTAGTATCTTTTAAAGTAGAAAAGCTGAGTAGATTAGTATCCAAACCGCTAGAAAAATATACAAAATGCTCTCTAGAATATTTTCCACAAACTACATAGTATCATCATGAATTCAGCTTTAACATCATCAACAACTTCCCTAACCACTTCTATCAGCCATCTCTGATGGGCAATATGAATATTGACACACATGAATCCTCATCAACTCCTTCTCAATTTGTCAACAAACCATACCTAAACACACTCATCTCTCATAGTATTTCATCTTCACCGCATACCCAAAATGCATCATTAAACCTTCGTTTAGTGATTAATGATGAAATGGAGGCACCCACTGACCTCTCCATTTTTATCCCACTCTCCCTTGAAGAAAAAAGCAGGATTTACATACCATGGCAATATGCAGTAATTATCAAGGTGTATGGACGCAAGATTGGGCATCAAATACCTAGGAAAAAAATATATGCCTTATGGAAACCAACTGAAAATCTACCTCTCATAGACTTAGGTTCAGATTTCTTCCTCATTAAATTTCAAAAGGAGAAAAATAAGATCATGCTTTGCAGGGTGGACCTTGATTTATTTTAAATCATTTTCTTTCCGTTCGTCAATGGGAATCAAAATTTATGGCTTCAGAAACAAAGATCAATTATACTTCGCCATATGGTTGCGTCTACCTGAATTACCTACTGAATTTTATAATTTCCAGATTCTTCAGAAACTGGGAAATAAAATTGGGAAATTACTCACTGTTGACACTTGCACCTCTTCAACCACAAGAGGAAGATATGCAAGGGTATGTGTTGAAGTACCATTGGATCAACCCTTACGAACACACATTTACATTGGAAATCATAAGCAAAATATACTTTATGAAGGATTAAATTTGCTATGCATTAAGTGTGGTCGAATGGGCCATAATCAAAGAGTTTGCACTTATCATCTCCAAGACAACAATCCTACTGATTTCTCTACAACAACAATCTACCATTACAAACCCTAGCACTTCTAACAACAATTATCAATCTACTGAAGAATGGAAAACTGTTCAATTTCCCAGGAGAGCAACCATGAAAATGACCTACTCTAAAGCAAATCAAATGCAAACAGTGCCAGACTCGTTTGCTAATCTTACACGAAAATCAGGTATGCACGTGAATAGCATAGACATGTCAAATGCCACTAACAATCTACCTTTCACTAAATTAACTATTACTAATACTAAGCCTACTATTAACCATAATATTAATCCTAAAATATCCCCATCACCCTCTTTTAATAATAATAAGTTTGCTACGCTATTTTCAAATGACTCCAATAACGATAATTCCATCACTAATCTTACTGGAAAAAACATCCTAAACCCTACAATTTCCACTCAAGTGCCACTACAACCGCCAAACCACTCGGCCCAATTAGAAAATACTCAAACTCCAACACCTATCAAAACCTATGCAAACAGCCACGTTACCCCACCCCACATGCAAGACCTAATACACTACTCAAACACATCCTACTCAGCCTCCCAAAAAGACCTACTCCCAAACCTATACACTCATCCAACAAATTCTTTGAATGCCATACCATCACCCTCGACCAACCCTACTGTAGCTCCCATGAAAATAGCTGATAATGATATCTCTACTTCTACACTTCCACAAAATATATCTCAATCTAACACACAAACTCCAAATTCTTCAATCAAATCGCCCTTATCTACCACTGATAAAGTTTCCCCTCTACTTCATCATTCAAGTTCGGAACAAAGTAATTTCATCAATCTCATATCACTTCCTCTAAACTTAAGAGATATTTCCACACAATCTCAATCACCTACGCAGACAAACCAACAACACAACCAGGCAGAATATTCATCGACTACAACACCATCAAACTCCATACCCACTTCCTCCATCACATCTAATAATGGAGCCAAACACAATCATATACATTGCTCAAACACCACATGCACCAACAAATCCAGCCTCTTAGCTCGAGACAGGCCTTCAGAATTATGCTCTAACCTTCACAATGGAGGTCAACAACCAATAAGTGATAACTCTCATCAACAACCCAAGGGATCTTGCGCAAATAGTAGCGGAGGGCATGCAACTAGGGACGGATATATTTGGAAGGTAACGCTGGTCAATGATACAAGCACCTTACCTTGCACCATACCATCCTCTACATCTCCCTACACCAACATGGGATCCCATTCACCTTCACCCACATCTTCTTCAAATGCCCTTTTACCCAACTCCCACTCCTGCCACACCTTGGATTCAACCCTACATGGTTCCACAGCCACACACACCACTATTGGAACTAGTTACACCTCCAACTCCATCACCACCACATTCACCACCACACGCTCCCAATACACTCGCACAAGACACGACATTTCAGGCAGAACTCGAAGCAGCAGTCGTTTACAACAGGGAAACACGTCTAGTACATGCATGGCTAGATGGAATCAAGGTATTTGTCCAGAAGGAGGAGTACGAAAGAAAAATATACATAAGTTGCCTCCAAATCTCATGAAAGCATCCTTTCGCCTCAGGCCCACAACAAACCCAGATGTGGGAAAGTATGTAATGCTTCTACTTCCTACATTACGTCTATGTCCAGGAGAGACCAACAGAAATCTGAGGAATACAAGGAGCAGCCAACTGCTCGACCCAAATCATAACCACATCAATTTCATTATTTAGAATTGTAGAGGAGCTCAATCATCTGATTTTCACGGACACTTTCGATCACTGCTTGATTACAATCGCCCATCATTGGTTGTTTTGCTTGAAACTCATTGTCAAAGCCACCAAGCTTTGAAGGAAGATTTCAGTTTCGCTGGCATGATAAAGGTGGCAGCTATAGGGCAGTCTGGATATATTGTTATACTATGGCTTTCGGATGTCCTTAATGTCGAACCAGTGGCAACCACTTCACAAGAAATTTACTGCCATATTCAGGTTCACCCCTTTCCTTTTAAGTGTTTATTCACTGCCATATATGCTAGTACTGATTTATGCAATAGACAGTCTTTACGGCAAAACCTTATGTGTGTATATGATAATTATAAAGGTCCATGGCTCATAGGTGGAGACTTTAATGAAACAACACATGCAAATGACAAATTTGGTGGACTACAAATTAATAATTCACGCTCTATAAATTTTCAGACTGTATAAATTAATGTCATCTAACTAATTTAAGGTATAAAGGAAGCCGCTATACTTGGAAGAATGGCAGGCATAATAAGTTTAATATTATTGAACGTATTGACCATTTTATAGCAAATTATGATTGGCTAAGTCAATACCCAGATGCACTTGTCACACACCTCCCACGTACTCATTCCGATCACTGTCCCCTTAAACTAGAACCACAACACTGCCCACTACCTCATAAAAAAATTTTTAGATTTGAAACAATATGGACTACACACCCTACCTTCCCATCTATAGTTGAACAAGCCTGGCTGGATAACTTACAGTTGCTACCAGCAAGTACTCAGTTCACTGACATAGTACAAGAATGGAATACCTCAACTTTTGGTAATATTTTTAAACGTAAAAGGAAAATACTAGCTCGTTTAGGTGGTCTTCAATCATCTATCAATTATCTAACAAGCACCTTTTTACATAATCTGGAATATCAATTAACAATAGATTTTAACAAAATTCTTAAGCTTGAGGAGGAATTTTGGAAATTAAAGTCTCGTATAAATTGGTTAAATGATGGAGATGCAAATACAAAAATTTTCCATCTTACAACTCTAAATCGTAGAAAACATAATCGTATAACTGCGATACAAGATCAAGGGGGAAATTGGATAACTGACCCTCATAACATACAGAATACTATTACAAAGTACTACCAAAATCTCTTCAAAACTCAACAAACTGCTTCTACTTCAAAAAATACAACACAGCCTTTCAATGTAATAACTCCTAAGGATCAGTCTTATTTAACCAAACCCTTACAAGATTATGAAATTATAAATGCAATACACTCCTTTAAACCTTTAAAAGCACCGGGACCAGATGGTCTACACCCATTATTTTATCAAAAATATTGGGATACCATAGGTAACTCTATTAAATATTTTTATCATAAAGCTTTCCTTGACAATCATATTAATCTGTTTATTAATACAACATTCATTTTCCTAATTCCTAAAAATAAGCATGCTTCTACAATATCTCAATATTGACCTATTAGTCTTTGTAATACTATTTACAAGATTATTACAAAAATAATTGTAAATAGATTAAAACCTGTTCTGGAACATATATGTGACGACCCGGCCGGCCGTCTTAAGAATTTACGCCCCGATCCCCCATTAACTACTTCCCCTAAGTTCATTTCTGCTATTTTGGTTTGTCGGGACGTTCGGTGTTGAGTTTCGGAGAGCTTTGGGACACTTAGTCCCCAAATGAGAGCTTAAGTGTTGAAAAGTGGTCCGTAGTCGGAACAGTGTGAAGACGATCTCGGAATGGAAATCCGATG